AGGGCAGGGAAAGTTCAACAAGACAAATTAGATCCCTCTTTGAGAAAATTATGAGTCGTGGCAGCTGGGATGCTGGTTAATTGAGGTGTGTTTGAATTATTCAAATATTTTGTTCCGCAAACATTTGCCAGGATATTAGTACTGGCCACCTGTCTCCATTATATACAAAGAGTCCAGAGCTGTATTTAGAAACAGGGGAATTCAAGGATTATTTGCAAAACCATAATGCATTTGTGTGCTTCTTTGGCTCTGTTCGATGTCCCGCTAGTCCCTTTTTCTTTAGGGGAGCCCTTGGAAGAACTAAAGGTGGAATAAATGCAGTTGGGACCCATCTTAAATACCATTATTATTATTATTATTATTGACACAAAAGCACAGTATGTCACAGCAAACAAGATCTATATGTTGAATTTCGTATCACAAAGCATCTAGGACTGTGTGATATTATTATTATCATCATCATCATAATCATCCTGACACAAAAACACAGTATGTCACAGCATATTATTATTATTATTATTATTATTATTATTATTATTATTATTATTATTATTATCCTGACACAAAAACACAGTAGGTTAGCATATTATTATTATTATTATTATTATTATTATTATTATTATTATTATCCTGACATAAAAACAGTGTGTCACAGCATATTATTATTATTATTATTACTATTATCCTGACACAAAACACAGCATATTATTATTATTATTATTATTATTATTATCCTGACATAAAAACAGTGTGTCACAGCATATTATTATTATTATTATTATTATTATTATTATTATTATTATCCTGACACAAAACACAGCATATTATTATTATTATTATTATTATTATCCTGACATAAAAACAGTGTGTCACAGCATATTATTATTATTATTATTATTATTATTATTATTATTACTATTATCCTGACACAAAACACAGCATATTATTATTATTATTATTATTATTATTATTATCCTGACATAAAAACAGTGTGTCATAGCATATTATTATTATTATTATTATTATTATTATTATTATTATTATTATCCTGACATAAAAACACAGCATATTATTATTATTATTATTATTATTACTATTATCCTGACACAAAACACAGCATATTATTATTATTATTATTATTATTATTATTATTATTATTATTATCCTGACACAAGAACACAGTATGTCACAGCATATTATTATTATTATTATTATTATTATTATTATTATTATTATTATTCCATACCCTTCTCTTGGTGCATTTTCACTATGGAATGAATGCAGCTGGACCTTACTTTAAATGTCATGTCTCCATGAATTGGTCTTGGGAATTGCAGTTTCCCAAGGTCCATGAGCCTTCTCTGGGTGCATCCAGACTGTGAAATTTATACAGTTGGACCTTACTTTCAATACCATAGCTCTATACTATGCAGTCCTGGGAGTTGCAGTTTCCCAAGGTCCACACCCTTATCTGTGGGGCAGCCGAGAGAGAGAAGCTTCCTTGCTTCCGTAATTGAAGATATGTTTTTGCAATTTAATACACTTTATGTTTTTATGATGGAACCAAGTAGGAAATGATGTTTATAACCCAGGAACCAGTATCGTACCATGAAGTATAATCAATAATGCATATGGTGCTTTGTTTAGTTATCACCCGAAACGATATCTTTAGGCTCCAGTGTGACATTCATAGTTGGACCTTATCATGCCAACTTTTTATTTGCCACCATAAACGCTATCTTTTCTGATAAAGCTCGGAGCCATGGAAAACGGCTCGGTTAAATGTCTCACATAGACGAAAGGCTTTCAGCTACTACATGGAAAATACAATAAGTACTGGAATAGATGCCAGGTGCACTAGGTTGTGAGTGGGCATTTCGGTGCCAGCTTAGTAATATTATGGAAAGGGTTTGATGCCCAGCCAATTCGTCTCAACAGGTGAACTTCCGGGAAGTAGCAGCCAATAATGAAAGGTCCATGGCAGTGATATCTCCGGCCCATCCTCTGTTCGGATATCAGCCAACATGCCTTAAATCAAGAAATAGTTTCCTCGAATTACTTAAATTCGAGTGAATCGTAATGAATGGCAACCAATGGCAACCAAGGAGGGCGACTAAAATGATCAAGGGTCTGGAGAACAAGCCCTATGAGGAGCGGCTTAAGGAGCTGGGCATGTTTAGCCTGAAGAAGAGAAGGATGAGAGGAGATATGATAGCCATGTATAAATATGTGAGAGGAAGCCACAGGGAGGAGGGAGCAAGCTTGTTTTCTGCTTCCCTGGAGACTAGGACAAGGAACAATTCCTGTGAGAGCTGTTCAGCAGTGGAACTCTCTGCCCCGGAGTGTGGTGGAAGCTCCTTCTTTGGAAGCTTTTAAACAGAGGCTGGATGGCCATCTGTCAGGGGTGCTTTGAATGCAATATTCTTGCTTCTTGGCAGGGGGTTGGACTGGATGGCCCATGAGGTCTCTTCCAACTCTATGATTCTATGATTCACCCTCCTTACAAATCTAAATAACACCATGCAAGAGAAAGCAGGCATCAGCATCCTGGTTACCCATCATGCACAGATCTTTCGTTAGCCAATCAAAGCAATAATGTGACTCACATGTTCTTGTGAAATGCCAATTATGCTTGAAATTTCTCTCTGAGTGATACAACGATAGTCCTGAATCAATCTGTCAACCTTTTGCTTGTGAAACTCGGTGGTTGCTGTCACAGGACACCCAACTCTTTGTTTGTTATGCAAGTCAGATGTTCCCACCTCAACATCTTTAAACTTACTCGCCCAACGATGCACAGTACTCACATCATCAAAATCACCATAAACAGCTTGCTCTCTCTGATGAATCTCCTTTGGGGTGACACCTTCTGCTGTCAAGAATTCAATGACTGCACATTGCTTAAGTCACATTGACTGACTGTCTGTGCAGGGTTCCATACTTCGCACTTTAACAACACAACCATTCAATGCTAAGGCTTCCCGCCAAAATGGAACTGTAGAGGAGAGTCTACTGAACAAGCCAGTACCTGCGCATACCAGTACTGCCATCTGTTGAGGATTTACGAAGGTGAAACATCTGACTTGCGTGACAAAGAGTTGGGCGTCCTGTAACAGCAACCACCGAGTTTCACAAGCAAAAGGTTGACAGATTGGTTCAGGATGATCGTCGTATGACTCAGAGAGAAATTTCAAGAATAATCGGCATTTTGCAAGAACGTGTGGGTCACATTATTGCTTTGCTTGGCTATCGGAAGATCTGTGCGCGATGGGTACCCAGGATGCTGATGCTGGTTGTGGAAACAGAGTGTCGACTTCTTCTGTGACGGCTTCAGAAAACTTGTTCATCGTTGGCAGAAATGTATCCAATTGTCTTGTGATTCAGTTCTTGTGGGTTTTTTCAGGCTATATGGCCATGTTCTAGAGGCATTTCTCCTGACGTTTCGCCTGCATCTATGGCAAGCATCCTCAGAGGTGAGGTCTGCTGGAAATGGGCAGCGTAGAAGGAAAGTCAGGGAGCACAGTAGATGTGCTTTCCTGGTCCTTAGTTTCTCCAATTTCCGTGTGTCTTGTGATTATATGGAAAAGTTAATACTGGGTCACATTATTGCTTTGCTTGGCTATCGGAAGATCTGTGCACGATGGGTACCCAGGATGCTGATGCTGGTTGTGGAAACAGAGTGTCGACTTCTTCTGTGACGGCTTCAGAAAACTTGTTCATCGTTGGCAGAAATGTATCCAATTGTCTTGTGATTCAGTTCTTGTGGGTTTTTTCAGGCTATATGGCCATGTTCTAGAGGCATTTCTCCTGACGTTTCGCCTGCATCTATGGCAAGCATCCTCAGAGGTGAGGTCTGCTGGAATTGGGAAAAAAGGGGTTTATATATCTGTGGAATGACCAGGGTGAGACAAAGGGCTTTTGTAAGTTGGGCCTTAGTTTCTCCAATTTCCGTGTGTCTTGTGATTATATGGAAAAGTTAATACTGGGTCACATTATTGCTTTGCTTGGCTATCGGAAGATCTGTGCACGATGGGTACCCAGGATGCTGATGCTGGTTGTGGAAACAGAGTGTCGACTTCTTCTGTGACGGCTTCAGAAAACTTGTTCATCGTTGGCAGAAATGTATCCAATTGTCTTGTGATTCAGTTCTTGTGGGTTTTTTCAGGCTATATGGCCATGTTCTAGAGGCATTTCTCCTGACGTTTCGCCTGCATCTATGGCAAGCATCCTCAGAGGTGAGGTCTGCTGGAAATGGGCAGCGTAGAAGGAAAGTCAGGGAGCACAGTAGATGTGCTTTCCTGGTCCTTAGTTTCTCCAATTTCCGTGTGTCTTGTGATTATATGGAAAAGTTAATACTGGGTCACATTATTGCTTTGCTTGGCTATCGGAAGATCTGTGCACGATGGGTACCCAGGATGCTGATGCTGGTTGTGGAAACAGAGTGTCGACTTCTTCTGTGACAGCTTCAGAAAACTTGTTCATCGTTGGCAGAAATGTATCCAATTGTCTGGTGATTATATGGAAAAGTTAATATTGGGTCACATTATTGCTTTGCTTTGCTATTGGAAGATCTGTGCACGATGGGTACCCAGGATGCTGATGCTGGTTGCGGAAACAGAGTGTCGACTTCTTCTGTGACGGCTTCAGAAAACTTGTTCATCGTTGGCAGAAATGTATCCAATTGTCTGGTGATTATGTGGAAAAATGACTAGTGGAAGTTAAAGAGCACGTTCTAAGGATTGTTTCTGCGTTTGATTTATTAATATATTCCCATCCAAAACCAAGTAACGAAGGTGGAGGCATTACTTTTCATTCGACCCTCGTAAATAAATAAGTTTGCATTCACAGTCAGAGAAGGAGGTCGATATTGGGTTACTGTTTGCTTTCAGGGTGTTGGTTTCATGGGTGTTCATTTTAATTTATGACATTCCACCGGAACGTCATCCATCACCATGACAAAAAATATCTCGGCACGGAGTTTCTCACCGTTTCTTTTCCAGGAAGCGGGCATTTCCTTCCAGAACAGCCTGAGGGAGAGAGCCTTGACGGTGTACTCTATGGTCCAGCCCCGTTCTCATCTCTCCAAACAGGTCGCTTAAGTCGGATGAGGTTGGAAACAAAGGATCAGAAGGGATGGCAACCTTGCCTTGGAGGATGCAAAACTTTGGAAACTTGAAAGGTTTTGGAATTCTTTCCCAATATCCAAACACTTCTCTGCTTTCAGCGTGATGAAGTCCCAAGAAGCTTCTCTGTTGAGGACTTTGGGAAGGGAATGAATAGCAGAGTTGGGGGTTGGACAGAAAATGGCATTTTTGGCTACGACATTGCCAAATTATAGTTTGGAACTGCATTAGATGGTCAATGTAGACTAGTGGCTCCCAACTTGTGGTCCATGGAGCGCCAGTGGTCCGCAAGAATTAAAATATGGTCCGTGGTGGCCTCACTTACTACACCATTCCAACGAGAACAACTTGTCTTGGAAAACCCTCTTATTGTGCCGAGGCTTGGGGGTGAGCAGATGGCTACTAGTGGATGGCATATGTTCTACAGCTGATGCAGTCTACCCAATGCAATTTTCTGAATCAGCACCCCAAATAACCAAACTGAATATAAAGTTGATCAAAAGCTGATTTATGACCCTTTTCGTACTAAGTTTGGAGAGTGGTTCCTGGTCAAAGTGGTCTCTGGTCAAGTGGTTCCTGGTCAAGTAGTCCCTGGTAAAGTAATGCCTGGTCAAAGTTATCACTGGTCAGGTAGTCCCTGGACAAAGTGGTCCCTGGTCAAGTAGTCTCCAGTCAAGTAGTCCCTGGTCAAAGTGGTCCCTGGTCAAATAGTCTCTGGTCAAGTAGTCCCTGGTCAGAGTGGTCACTGGTGAAAGTGGTCACTGGTCAAGTAATTCCTGGTCAAAGTAGTCCCTGGTCAAGTAGTCTCCAGTCAAGTCACTAGTCCCTGGTCAAAGTGGCCACTGGTCAAGTAATTCCTGGTCAAAGTAGTCCCTGGTCAAGTAGTCTCCAGTCAAGTCCCTAGTCCCTGGTCAAAGTGGCCACTGGTCAAGTAGTCCCTGGTCAAAGTGGTCCCTGGTGAAAGTGGACCCTGATCAAGTAATCCCTGGTCAAAATGGTATCTAGTCAAGTAGTCCTTGGTCAAGTAATCCGTGGTCCAATAGTCCCTGGTCAAAGTGGTCCCTGGTCAAGTGGTCCCTGGTCAAGTAGTCTCTGGTCAAGTGGCCCCTGGTCAAAGTGGTCCTTGGTCAAAGTGGTCCCTGGTCAAGTGGTCCCTGGTCAAGTAATCCCTGGTCAAAGTGGTCCCTGGTCAAGTAATCCCTCATCAAAATGGTACCTAGTGAAGTACTCCCTGGTCAAGTAATGCCTGGTCAAATAGTCCCTTGTCAAAGTAGTCCCAGGTCAAGTGGTCCCTGGTCAAGTAAACCCGGGTCAAAATGGTATCTGGTCAAGTAGCCTCTGGTCAAGTGGTTCCTGGTGAAGTAATCCCTGGTCAAAATGGTCCCTGGTCAAGTAGTCCCTGGTCAAAGTGGTCCTTGGTGAAGTAATCCCTGGTCAAAATGGTCCCTGGTCAAGTGGTTCCTAGTCAAGTAGTCTCTGGTCAAAGTGGTCCTTGCTCAAAGTGGTCCCTGCTCAGAATGGGCCCTGGTCAAGTGGTCCCTCATCAAAGTGGTCCCTAGTCTAAGTGGTCCCTGGTCAAATAGTCCCTGGTCTAAATGGTCCCTGGCCAAATGCTCCATGGTTAAAGTGGTCCCTGGTCAAATAGTCCCTAGTCAGAGTGGTCCCTGGTCAAGTGGTTCCTCGTCAAAGTGGTCCCTGGTTTAAAAAAAAGGTTGGGAACCACTGGTGTAAACCAACTAATGCAGACCCTATTAACACTGCTATATATAGTGCATCTTAACTGCATTATATGAGTCTACAATGACTATATCATGGAGGTCCAGACTGCACTATATGGCAGTGTAGATCCAGCCAAGGAGAGCAGAATGTACTGCACAGAAAGCAGCACTTGCTGCTAATAATTGGACTGCCATGCCCAGAATCCTCCATCAAGGTTGATGACATTTGGGACTATTTGGTTTTGCTTTGCTTTTGCAAGAAGCCTTGTTTAGCCACAGAATATCGGATTTTGTTACCTATAGAGCAACAATATTTTTGATCTTCCCTGTTGTTTAAAATGTTACCATTCTCAAGCAGTTTTGGCAAAATATGTGTAATTGTGTATCTGAATTGCCATATGATAACGTTTTGATATTATTTTAAAATAGTTCTAATATATTACGGGTTTTTAAAATTGCTTTATGCTGCCTAAAATATGTTTTTCCTGCTGCCTTTCTGGTATGTTTGAAACCTAGGCACAATTCCACAAAAGGATTTGAGACATTGTGGTAAAGGATACTGAGAGTGCATCTACACTGCAGAATTAATGCAGTTTGGCACCATTTGAACCGCCATGACTCAATGCTATGGAATCCTGGGAGTTGTAGTTTTATGCGGCATCAATGTTCATTGGTAAAGAAGGCAAAAGACCTTGTAAAACTACAACTCCTCTCATTCCATCGCATCGAGTCATGGCAGTTCAAGTGGTGCCAAACTGCATTAATTCTGTAGTGCAGCTTCATGACATCTACCACAGATATCACCCTGGGAAAACTATAATTCCCCTGATTTCAATGGGTTTGTGGAGAACTGTGTTAATTACAGCCAACCTTCAATGTTTGTGTGTCATTTTACAGGTTTGTGCAGGGGTTTTGTTTGTTTCTTTCTCTTATGTCATGTGTTGTTATATATATTAGTTTATATATTAGTTTATATAAAAATAAATAGAAATACAAGAAAAGAATCATAGCGTCGTGGAGTTGGAAGAGACCCCAAAGGTCATCCAGCCCAACCCCCTTCTGCCAGGCAGAACACCATCAAAGCCCTCCTGACAGATGGCCATCCAGCCTCTGCTTAAAAGACTACCAAGGAAGAAATCTAGCAAAGCACAAAGTTTTCTGTAGAAGAATTTGAATATGTTTCTGTACAGAAGTTGATTGTAAATGATATGATTATAAACTGTATTGATTGTAAATGATATTATTATAACT